GGACCCTCCGCCATGTTCCTGCTGCTCCCCTTTGACAGCCTGGTGGCTAACCTGCTCGGCATCTCCCTCACCGTCCTCTTCACGCTGCTCCTCGTCTTCATCATTGTGCCAGCCGTTTTCGGGGTCTCCTTTGGCATCCGCAGGCTGTACATGAAAACGCTCTTGAAGATCTTCCAGGTGAGTCCGGTAGGGCAGGGGGTGCGGGCCGGCAAGGGGAGAGCGACTGGGAGATCGACAGCCTGGTGGCTAACCTGCTCGGCATCTCCCTCACCGTCCTCTTCACGCTGCTCCTCGTCTTCATCATTGTGCCAGCCGTTTTCGGGGTCTCCTTTGGCATCCGCAGGCTGTACATGAAAACGCTCTTGAAGATCTTCCAGGTGAGTCCGGTAGGGCAGGGGGTGCGGGCCGGCAAGGGGAGAGCGACTGGGAGATCTCGCTTGCCGAGCACGTGGCACGCAGCGGAGCCCAGCTTGTAGGGCGCCGAAACGCACGCTGCATCTGGCATGGCCAAGTCCGGAGCTGTGCAAGAGAGGGGCCCGGACCCGGAGGGGTTAATGCCCTGTGTCCAGCAGAGCCCAGGAGAGCTGTGACGCTCCAGGGAGCAGCCCAATGGGGGAGCAGGGCACAGTGGAGGAGCGGGTGTGCAGCTGCTTCCCAGCAAGGGTTGGCACCGGCTTGGGCACAGGGCAGCGGAAGCAGCTGATCTCCAGCGCAGGTTTGGGTGACAACACAGGGGCATCATGGCCAGGGCTCTCTGCCCTGCAGGCCCCCGTGTCCCCAGCTCTCTGCGTCATAGACTCACCAAAAACAAGGGTTGCAAGTGACCTCAGGAGGCCACCGAGCCCCGTGCGTGCAGCATGCCTGCCTGGGGGTCGCCGGGCACCCTCTGGACCTGCAGCTGCCATGGAGCCCCAGCTGCCCTGGCTGTGTTTCTTGGCACAGAGAGGCCAAGTGGAATTTTCCAGCCTAGGCCACGCTGTTCTCTGCCTGCCCTTGGCCGGGGGGGATTGCCGGGGCTGCCTGACAGCCAAGGCTGGCTGCGGAGACGAGTCCCAGGCGGACCAGGGACTGTGCTGTGCCCCCGCGTTACCCGGGAGTGGAAAGGCAATAGGAACGCGCCTGTTGCAAGCGCCTAAAGAGCTCTTCTGGCGTTCTCCCAAGCCTGCCCTTGTGGGAACAACCGCTGATGGGGTCGGGTCAGGTCACCAGTGGTGCCAATTGCAGATTTTGCTCAGCTGTGCTGCGGCACAGGGTAGGAGACTGGGATACCTGCCCCACAAGGGGTAGTGCCTCCCCTAGGCCCAGGCAGGGATGGGGCGACTGGCCGAGTTGTGTGCGTGGGATCCTCTTCGGGCACAATTGCCAGGTCTGTTCTGAGGGCGGGTGCAGGACCTGTTGATCACGCAAAGAGAGCAGGCCGAGCGGCTGAACTCTATCGTGTGTCCTTGAGGAGCGGTGGAGGGGAGACATTCCTGGGAATCGGAGGCAATCTGGGCACCGTTGCCGGAGCTGCTGGCAGACAGCTGCCCGTTGCTGCTGCCTGCAAGCACATGGGGCAGGGGGAGCAGCTGCTGACTGTAGGGGGAGGGTCCCACCACGCGCCCGGCTGTTTCGTCAGCGACCTTGAAACACAGCACGGAAAAAATGAGAATTGGAAATTTGGGCTGGGCGGTCACCTGCTCTGCCAGGCACTGAATGAGCCCATCTCTGCATCCGCTGCCTGTGCCCAGGAGGAGGGACGCAGAGAGGCAGAGCTGCAGGCCCCAGACGTCCTGCTCACCCTGCCTCTCTCTTACAGTGGGCAACACTACGGATAGAGCGTGGCGCCAAGGAGAAGAACCACCCCGTGTACAAGCCCTACGCCAATGGTGAGGGCTTGCAGTGCGCATCCCCATGTCCTGGTGTCTGTACACAGCCGGGGCACTCCCCTCTCAGGGCAGGGGTCTGGAAGGGGAGCAGGTGGATACTGCTCCTCAGGCGCAGCAGGGGAGAGGAGGGGAGCAGGGGCACTCTGGGGCCAGGCCCATTACCGAGGCTTATGCCTCGTTGCAGGCATCATTGCAAAGGAGCCCATGTCCCTGGAGGAGGAGATCAAGGAGATCCGCCGCAGCGGGAGCAGCAAGGCCCTGGATGCACCCGAGTTCGAGCTCTCCGACATCTTCTACTTCTGCCGCAAGGGCATTGAGACCATCATGGATGATGAGGTGACCAAACGGTTCTCGGCCGAGGAGCTGGAGTCCTGGAACCTGCTCAGCCGAACCAACTACAACTTCCAATACATCAGCTTGCGCCTCACCGTGCTGTGGGGGCTGGGTGTGCTCATCCGCTACTGCTTCCTGCTGCCACTCAGGTGAGCCATGGCCCAGAGCCTGCCTGCCCAGCACTGCCCAGGCTCACCAGGACAGGTGTGGCCACAGCCCCAGCCAGGGCCTGGGGGATTCTGTGCTCTGCCTTTGGCTCTGGCAGAGGGAGCTGCAGAGTTAGTGTGGTGAGGGCCAGGAGATTTCCAGCAGCCTCTTGGCAGCTCTAAGGAACAGTGTTCCCAGAAAAGTGCCCCAGTCTCTGGGGCACTGCCACACACAGGAGGGCCAGGCACCAGGGCCACGCTAACCTCCTCTCTCTCTGCAGGATAGCCCTGGCCTTTACCGGCGTCAGCCTGCTGGTGATCGGCACCTCAGTGGTGGGACTCCTGCCCAACGGACGGTGAGCTGATTGAGTGCAGCTTACTAGGGTGCTGGCTGCCTGCAAGCGAGGGCTGTGGTCCCTGGCGTCTCTGGCCCCAGCCACAGGAGCTTTCATGAACAGAGCGCAAGTGGTCCAGCAGGGCTCGCAGCCCTCGGCTCCAGAAGCAGCAAGGCACTCAGCCAGCTTGGATGTGTGAAGCGTGGTGGCCTCTACTGCCTGCCCCTGACTGGTGTGCGGGGGGAGTCACAGTGGAGCAGTGGGAGCCCCTTCCAGCTGGCACCAGACGTGCCTGTCAGGGGAGGGGGAGCTCTCAGCCCCTCTTCCTTGGGGTTGGGGGCCATCAGTGCCACTGGCCACAGCCCAGTCCATGCGCCACATCCATGTTGTGCTCCTGAGTGCCCATGTCCTCCCTCCAGGTGCAAGGAGTTCCTGAGCAAGCACGTTCACCTGATGTGCTACCGGATCTGTGTGCGTGCCCTCACCGCCATCATCACCTACCATGACCGGTAAGGAGCCTGCACCAGCCGCAGCCCCAGGTCCCACCATGCTGCCACTTCCGGCGGGCTCGCTCCTCATTGCTCTTCCCCATCTGTGCTCTTGTGCTCCCCATAGGGAGAACAGGCCGCGGAACGGAGGCATCTGCGTGGCCAACCACACCTCCCCGATCGATGTAATCATCCTGGCCAGTGATGGCTACTATGCTATGGTAAGGGTGGCTCCAACTCTGGCTTCCTCCCATCACACAGGGTCCTTTTCCACGGTGCCAGGCCTGGTCCCTGGGCCCGTGCCCCAGGCCCCTCTTGCCTGGGTGATTCAGCTGCTCCATGCTCCCCAGCTGCAGACACCTGTGCTGCCTTGGCCCTGGGCTTCCCCATTGCTGTGCAATGCATCCGAGCTTCAGTTGTGAGGGGGGCAGCCTGGCACTGCGGCTGTAGAGCCGGGTAGCTGGTGCATGACCTGCATCCTCTTCCTGGGCGGGCACAGGTGGGCCAGATCCACGGAGGGCTCATGGGCGTGATCCAGCGGGCCGTGGTGAAGGCCTGTCCCCACGTCTGGTTTGAACGCTCCGAGGTCAAGGATCGCCACCTGGTGGCTAAAAGGTAGGGCTACAGGCAGGCGGGGGCAGGAGGCTCTAGCGAGGAGGCCGGGGGCAGGAGGGTGACCGGTGCCCACTCTTCCTGGCAGGCTGACGGAGCACGTCCAAGACAAGAGCAAGCTGCCCATCCTCATCTTTCCAGAAGGTGAGCACCGAGGCCTGGGCAGTGTGATCCGAGCTGGGCAGGCTGGATCCCGATCCCGCAGCATGGGGCTGTCAGGTGGCACAGTGCTTCCTGCCTGCCCCCTAGGCTAGCAGCTGGGCGCAGTAAGCAGTCCAGTCTTGCTGTGCACAGCCGAGGGCTTAGCATGCATCTGCGAGAGAAGCTAAGAGCCAGCACTTGTCTCTTCACAGGGACCTGCATCAACAACACATCTGTGATGATGTTCAAGAAAGGAAGCTTTGAAATAGGAGCCACGGTGTACCCTGTCGCCATCAAGGTGAGAGCACCGCCCTCTGCCTGGAGAGGAGTGCCCTGAGCATGGTGGCTTGGGGCCTCCCACCCGCCTGGGCACTGCAGGAGGCAGGGGACCCAGCAGCTCTGGCCCATTCTAGATCCCCTGTGCTCTCGGCGCTGTCCTGCATGGTAGGAGCAGGCCGTGCATGCCTGGGGGTGCCTGCACCCGTGCCCAGATGGCGGGGGAGCCTGGGGTGCAGCCTTGCTGGGGACACGGGCCTGGAGTCACAGACTCTGTGCCCCCCGTAGTACGACCCGCAGTTCGGAGACGCCTTCTGGAACAGCAGCAAGTATGGGATGGTGACTTACTTGCTGAGGATGATGACCAGCTGGGCCATCGTCTGCAGTGTCTGGTACCTTCCCCCCATGACCAGGCAGGTGAGTGCCTAGCCCACCTGTGTGCATGTGCACGCGAGCCACCTGCCCCCCAGGCCCATGGCGCTCAACCGCTTTGCTCTCCCGCAGCCCGACGAGGACGCCGTCCAGTTTGCCAACCGGGTGAAGTCGGCCATTGCCAGGCAAGGAGGCCTGGTGGATCTGCTCTGGTGAGTCAAAACCAGAGCCCGAGCTTCCTCTGGCGGTGGGGGGCCCTGGGCTGCTACAGCCACCCCCTGCGGATGGGGCACGTGGGGGCACTGCGGCCGCCTGACCGTGTCTCTTCCCCACCCCCCCAGGGATGGGGGCCTCAAAAGGGAGAAGGTGAAGGACGCATTCAAGGAGGAGCAGCAGAAGCTTTACAGCAAGATGATTTCGGGCAACCACGAGGACCGGAGCCGCTCCTGAGCCCCGCGGGGCCGGGCCCTGCCCTCAGACTCTGGGTGCTGCGGGGGCTGCCTTCCCTGCCTGCTGCGGGGCTGAGCGGAGCCGAGCACCGGCAGCCCGGGCCGGCGCGGAGCCCGGAGCGCTGGCCCCGGCCCCGGCCCGGCTGCTCGGAGCCG